TAGTGTCATGGATATCAGCAGAATCACTGTTATAGTTTGACACATCATCTCCAGGTGCCCAAGATTGAAGGCAAGCAAGAAGCTAGGCAGGTATACTAAATCAATAACCCTATTCTCTTATCAAATAAGCTAATTAACTTTCAAAGATAAAGTAGAAAACTCTGCAAGATTTTCCTTTTAAATATTATTTTAAAGAGATATGATGAACATTGAGTAGGAATATGAGCTGTAAAGAACTGAATGAGGAAAGACTTCCAGAAAGATCTAGCTGTGGAGGTTCTAAATACCCAAGAATAAGGAACATTAAGTGAAATCAAATTAACAAATGCTTTTTACATACCATCTTAATGCTTTGGGGTCTCATACATAACACATACAAACATCACAAGCAGATATTTTAGAGTCACAGATACAATGGTATGGTGTAGGAGATCTCACCCTATTTTAAGAAATGTCTTATGTGTGTATTTATTATGATCTTAAAGAAAAAAGACTGTGTTACTCTGTATCAGAAGAAACAGAACTATAGCTAGCAGTTTTCCATTCATAGCTTCAAGGACTTTGTAACATTTCTGAGAATTCAGCATTTTTCCCATATAGGTCTGTTCAACTGTGAAATCTATCCAGCACCCCCCCGACCCCCAGCACTACCACCACCAACGTACTGCTTATAACTTGAGTTTCTGCTCTTGAAGTGCAAAGCTGAAACAAAAAGAAGAGAATGCCTACCAAAAGTAATATTATCAACACCTCAGTAGAAGAGCAAAACAATAGCAAACATTACCACAATGCCTGACCTCTGAAGGAGGTGAGCTGTAGCTCCTCTCAGCAGTGGGACAGTGGGGGATAGGCTGAAAAGTTCTTAAAGTTGCTTAGGGTTGGTCCTGAGACTTAGGATGGAGACTCTACCTCATCCTGGGAAAAAAAGTTCCTCAACTGAAGTGCAAACCCATCTAAGGCCATGAATTGTGGCCACTTTGATCACTGATGTACTCTTTTTCAGACTGGTCCCTTTAAACTTGAGGTTTCTAGGGGAAACAAAAACACAAATTGATGTTTAAAGGGTTTTTGTACTTTGGCTTTTCTTGCCTTTCTTTTTCCCCATGTCCCCCTTTCTTACGACTCTCACTGTAGTCTCTTGAGGTCTCTGTGAATTTGATCTACTGATCTGGGTGTTGAGGCTGGTTCTGAAATCTTCTAAAAAGTCCTTTACACAGCAGAGTTAACAGGCCTTTCTGGGCCAGTTGCCATCTCTGAGCTGCCACAAACTCCATGGATTGTTTGGCAATAAAAATCAGCTATAAAAGTGTGAAAAATACCAGAGACCCAAATGGGAGAGGGAAGAATGGCTCTTACACCCTTTTAGTGGACATCTGATTTATTTTTAAATGGAAAAGCCACTTTTATAGCTACTGTAGCTCAATTATCTCTAATTTTACACATTTTATGCAAATTCTCAGCATCTTAATTGCAAATGAGAAGGAAACTTATTTTTTAAGGCAGAACAACAAGGTATAGTTTCGGATTTTCTTTTCAATTTTTAATTCCTATGCTTGGTTCAGCACCATTAAACTTTTAAAATTCTTTCTACACAGTTGTTTAAAATTATGTTTAATTTAAAGCACACTCACATGTTCACAAACACCCATAGCTTTAAACAAGTAGCTAATTTTATTCCCAGACCTTGCACTCCATTTTGGAGAAGATATTTTGATGTTCTCCTACACAGTTTCTAAAGACATCAAGGGAGTAAGTCTACTCAGAAGGTTTTAAAAAATGGTTGGTGTCTTACCCTAGAGATCAACACATTGGAACGGATTCTAAGCACCAAGACACCTAGTTGTAAAATTGTTTGTTGCCTGAGTACTCAGATTTCTACTCAGCAAAGGGCTGGTAGATATTTGGCAAGCCAACCTCTTGGTGTGGTGGTGATGGGGTATGGTACATTCTAATTTGTGTATAGCACTTGCTCATTTCCATGGTGCACACACTCCTGCTATTGCTGATTTCAAATGGCCAGTACCATTTCTATCACTAAATGAGGAGGTGGGAAAAGATGTGCTAAATTGGCTTCCCTGAGCAGAGCCCTATGCAGCTAGCTCTAGGACATTGCTACTCCAAGAAAGGTAGACATGCTTTGAGGTTTTTAACTAATCTTTCTCTTATTGGGATCTCTAAAGGTGAACAGCCCAGAAAAATAAATAACAGTTGAATAATAGTTTGGGGAGATTTTATAGACTATAAGGAGAGGCCCAGCTTAATGTTTAAAAATCAAGAATCAGGAGTTCTAGGTAAGAATCTGCCAATTACCATCCATCTAACCTGTGCCAAGATTTTCTGTGGAGCCTTTTTCCTTATGAATAAAATAAAAATTAAAAAGTTTGCTCTGCTGTGGGTTTGTCTTCTAATAGGAAAAGAGAGTGTGCTGGTTCATTTGGAAAGGGATATGCAAAGTGAAGTTAAATGTGTTCATGGTTTATTCAATAATTATTGGTTTAGTAAGCTAAATATTTCTTGATGTCACCATAAAGAGACATAGACAGGTTCATACCAAAATACATAGAATTATTCTTCACCAGATTACGATTAGTGATTTTATGAGGAAATCTCACCTAAACCATGTGTAGGGAAAGAAATATTTTCCCTGAATCTTGAGAAAAATCAGTCAAGAACTCAAGGAAAGAGAAAAATGTATTATCAATCACTGGTGTTGATTAAAACTCAATTTTGATATGTGCTAGATTTCTCCAAATATTAGGACAGAGAGAGCACAGAGAATGCTATGACTAATGCACTGTGGGAAGAAGCAGTACCTACAAAAGACCTCCAAGAGGCTAATGGCATTGAGAACTCCTCATCTTCTCCTTTCGCTATGATCAATATTGCACTAAAATGTTCCTCAATACCCAACACAATCAGCAGCCAAAACACCTTCCAGTCTAGATCCTTCCTCTCCTTCCCAACCATATTTTATTCTAGCACAACAAGCAAAGGGGACATAATCATTTGCCTCCAACAAAAGTGTAGACTCCTCTGGAAACAAAAGCAAATGAAAACAGAAAGGAAGGCCCCACATGCAGCACTTCTCATTAGGCCCTTCGCCTAACAATAATTAGACTTGTTCCTGCAAACGCTGGATTCTGGGCAGCTGGTCCAATACTTACTCACACAAAGGAAAATAAATAGTACATACGAGTCCCTGACTTTTACTTCCTCCCTTTCCTCCTTTCCCTTTGTGACTTCATGCTGGTTTGCAATTTGTGTTTTCACCACTGTAGTTAATTCTAAGACACAGTCGATCAACTCATAGCTTCCTCAGTAATGGAAGTGCCTCTAAATAAAATTGCATAAAGCCCAACACTTGGATAGAAAGAATTCCTACCAGTCCTTTCATCTTGTATTTAGCTGGCTACCCTTCATTGAAGTTACATTTGTAGCATAATTAATGAAATACGCTCTTCTTCTGACTTGCCTAAATAGCTCTGCCAGGTGACTTGGAAACTATCTGTCCCTTTATGAGGAAGCACTGCTACCGAAAGGGTCTGAGATCTTTCTACAAAACTCCTGGCAGCTAAACTATTACACCTTGAACATGTGACTGAGGCCTGACAGGCGAAAAATACACATGCCTCATAATGCATGTCAACAATTTTACTATCTAGTACAAATGGAAACTTGCTGAATTTATTCCCTAAAATGCTTTTTACACTTTTCTTCGTTCTGGCTTAGTGGTAATGTATTTAAATGTCTGAGAGAAATATTCAAAAGAATGAAATACATAACTTTAGTTGAGATGCCTACATTTCAAGCCAAATCCTGGCAGATCAAATACTAGTGATTATTTGAGTTAATGTTATCCTCATTTGATTAGGAAAATCCAGGGAGCCACTGACTCAATCCTTTAGATCCTGTCTTTTAACCAGTCAATATTTTTAAGGTTGTGGTTCTCAGAATGCAGGTGATAATTTTGGAGATAACATCTCAAGGTGCAGCTGACAATGAGATGCATATTTAATATATTCCTGGAATGACAAAATACAGCAATGTTGGAATCTCCCCCTGGAAATATGTACACTCACACCCACCCACACACATAATGCTAACCTTTAAATTCCTGAAGCCTCGGTAAGGATTCAGCAAACTGGCTCTTATTAATGTCAATGAACATGTGAGAAATTTAAAGGGTGGAGATTGAATATCTTCCCCTCAGATGGTGCTGTCTCTTTGGTACAGCAGAGCCCTGAGAAGGGTCTGGAAGAAGATCAATAGTGGGGACAGGAGAAAGGACTACTGAGAATGGCTGGAGCAGGAGTTGGCAGTGCCCCTAAATCAGTACATGTTATCACCTCCGCAGACTAGTAGTTTACATGAGGACAGAGAAGATAGGAGAACATAAAAGAGAAAACATTAGCCTGGCATTTTTTTAGAATGTCATTAAAATATATCTATTTTAATTTCATATGGCTAAAATTATCTGCTTGTTTTGTATTAATTTTGCCTTGACTGAAATTAGTTGTCAGGCCTCTGTTTATAGCCTAATTACTTTTTTCTTGAAAAAAGGAGGTAAAAGAAATAACAATAAATTTGTAATGCAAAAGCTACAAGTTTGTATTTTAGTAGATTAAAGATGGTTCTAGGAACAGATTTTGAAAATAATTTACACGAATCTGAGAGATTTCTATTTTTCAGAAGTCTAAGATTTTATTAGTTTGCCTTTCATTGTTTAATGTCACAATTATTTCTTGTGGCCATAGACACTTGAGTGAGTAGTGTTCTAGGTAGCTACATTTGGTGTCATCTATTTTATTTAGCTTTCTTATCAAACCAACTAGATAATCAAACATCTATACTCAGTACTACAGGTTTGCAAAATGTTTTTATATTAAGTCTTCATCCCATGTACTTAACTCTGCCATTTGAGTGCAAAAACATCCACAGATGATACACAAACAAATTAGCATGATTGTATTTCAATAAAACTTTATTTACAAGATCAGGCACTGAACTAGTTTCAGCTTTCAGGGCATAGTTTGCCAACCCCTGGTCACAGCAGTTCAGCCAATGGAATGTGGAGGGAAACTTTTGCACAGTATATAGAAAATGTGTTCAACAACTGTATTTTGAGTAAAAATTAGTATCAGTTAAACTAAAACAGAAACACTTCATACATATAGAATTGTGAGCTACCTTCAAGTCAAAATTAACAGATTTTAAAAAATCCCCCATTTTAGTCACTTCTTGAAATCAACAAAAATAAGCACATGAACACAGTTAAGGGAACATAGGAAAGATAACCAAATGCAAACACACAATTTATTGAAGCTAAGTGAAAGCTCTGCATTACCAATAGGCTACAGAGAATACCACTGAGTTATGTAGTATTCTATTGCAACTGAGGCTTACAATTATACCCTTGTGGAATCAAAATAAGAGAGTGTTGTAGAAAGTGTTGGAGAGATGTAGAATGTATTTTTTAAAGATATGCACCAGAATGAGTAGTTGTTAAACTATTCACTCTCTTCAAAGAACAGGCTTCAATTATTTCATAGATATACATCAGTTTGTGGAGGCAGACTTCTTGATCTCAAGACCTAGCCCTGCTTTTTGCACTGCAGCCAGCATTTCCCCATCTGTATTCCACGGGTTGGACCACAGGATCCATGGCAATCAAACCCTGACCTAATGTTCAACAATTCCAATGTTAGCTTCAACTATTTACTTTTTTAGTTACAAGACCCCTGACTTTCTCTATCATGCTTTTTTACCTAAGGGTGAAATGTCAAATTACATTTTTTATTCCCTTTAACCAAACAAATTTCCACTCTGCTCCCACTACCTCCTAATCCTCTCACAGCAAGTCTCATTTTAAATGTTAATGTAGCTTCTCTCCCTACAGGTCATCAGGGACAGGTACACACTCAGGAATCAGCCAAAGGAGCAGCTCTCCAGGCCAAGCCTGCAAAGTCATCCCGAGAGTCCTACACACTCCTCAGCTGTAGGGGTTTTCCCTGCTCAGTGTCTGGACCATTGCCAAGAAGTTCTGTCCAGCTGTAAGCCTGATTTTATATAGTTATTTTCACTTATTTTTTATTTTGCAAAATGTAAAGGAATCTGTTTAGCTAGGAAATCACGTCCCTTGAAAGTGATTATAACCTAATTTGACATGCAGTATTTGTACACTTATTCTAGTGTTATGATGCATTTACTGTGTTTACATAAATAGAGATTTCTGTGGAATTACTGCAAGATAATGTAAAGAGTTTATCATATGAAATTTCCCCAAATCTCACTTGGGAGAATTAAAAAAAAAAACTTAATGCAAAATTTTCTTTGGAAATGAAATGGATTCATTTCTAAATGTTCTCTAAATCATTGAGGGCTTCACAAAACATCAACTTTTTCATTCATCCGTGTTTGACTATTAATTGATACTGTCAAAAAATTGGCCATGTACTCAATATGTGCCAGGTACCAACAAATGTAGACTAGAATGTGTCTCACCTTCAAAGATGTTACAATATAAACAAGTCCAGAAGAACTTCATGGAGAAAAGAGAAGCCCTGCCTCGATTTGTCTGCTAATCTGTGGTAATAACTGTGTTTACTTCATGAAAAATACAATGGAAGAAATGTACAAGAATGACTGGCATTGAGGAAGTGACAAGAGCAAGCAGAGACAATCTAAGGATGTTCTGGGAGCTGCACAGATCTTAAAGCTTTCCTCGGTTTATATGTTATTGACATGGGATTTCTCACAAATTGAAGTATTTTACTAAATCTAGGAAGGAACATTCACATAGAAATGATTCAATGGTCCTACAACCACATATCAATTTAAGAAAGACCTACTTGTCTATCTTCCTGACATTAAATCACGTTCTCTTTGCAGTCATCTGCTCCCATTTATTCAGTTTGTACCATATGTTCAGCTCCCTCTTAGAATATCTGAAGGTTAAAAATTAGGGGAAAGGCCTGCCAGGACGCCAAGCTGTGTGCACAGTGGAAAAAGGTTGAGAAAATGTCCACAGTGGCATCTGGTTCCGAGAGGTGCAGATGTCACTGCCTAGGTACCCTTTGTAAGCAGCCCACTTCTTATCACATTCACTGGGTACTGGACACTCAGGTGTACCAAGAATGAAACAATCTTTATCTTCATTTCTCCAAGAAGTATTATTCCTCCATCATCAAGTTCAAAATCTTCCTTTGAATCTTTGGGCTCTTTATCGTGTTTTCTAAAAGAGAAATAACATTCAGATATAGATATCAAGTAATATTCTCAGTGAAATAGAACATTTCTGTTTTTCTTTTCAGATGAATTCTATACAATTGCTATCCAAAAATTGTCAGAACAAGAGACAGATATTAAGGAAAGAAGTGGATTATAAGATTTGCGTGTGGCCTTTAAAAAAAAAAGTCATTGTTTTTAATTTGGTGTACATGATTATTATTCATTATTCAAATTTTTTTCAGTAAAAACTAATTCAATATTCCAATGAGATTTCATTAAAATCGATGCACATTGATTAATGTACCTAGCATGCCAGTGGTTTGTGTTTTCACTTATTTTACTTCAAAAGAAAATAGAAAAAGTACTTCTCACTTGGCAAAGGAAGTCCCATAGAACTACAAAGCTGATTTATGATTAAATCACCTGTTAGGGACCCTTTAAAACAGAACACCTTAGAAGTAAGCTAATTAAGTATGCTTGCCCTACTTGATCTATAGGTTTGTTCGTCCATGACAGATTCAGTATAGGTTCATCATGGTGAACAATCATTATCATGTTCTTTGGATCTGAGTTTTGCTATTTAGCACCATATCCCTTTGAGCAAGTTGCCCAACCTTTCTGTATTTTAGTTTCATTTTCTGAAAGTCCCACTCTGTTATTCTCATTTTTATGGGATGATAGCAATAAATTATTCACAGAGTGCACATGGAGCATAACCTGGCATGTGGTTACCTGGCACAGGAATGTCTGCTAGTTGCATGGAGGGCAGCAGTGATCATACTTGTCTTGAATGGTATTTATTTATCCTTACTGCTGTAATTTCCTTGTTAGTTTATTCAGCCTATTCTATAAATCCTAAGCCCATGTGCAACATTATCTGTCCCAATGGGAGCCTAAAGTAGTGATAGGTAATCCACGTAAGTATATTCTCCCCCACAACACCAATATCCTCACTGCGTTTTTGTTTTCTATTTAAAAGCAGCTAATTGTGCAGTGATTGTGTTCGTGATCACCTTGTTTGCCTTTTTATTGTCCTAATGGGAAACACTACATATTAAAATAATACTATCCACATAGTCTAAAAATCTCTGACTAAAAGGTAAGTTCTTCATTACTGTCCATTTCTTAGCTTTGGCCTTTTCCCCCTTCTCACAGACCCTGACCATGGAATATAAACTCAGATACAGTACAAAATTTCCAAGATTCACTGCCCCCTCCCTTTTACCAATAAATGCTCACTACATTCCTACACTGATTTTTTTATTATTTTATGAGTTCTTTGCTTTTAATAATCAAACTAAGAAAGGAAATTATTTCTTTGGCTGCATCTGTAGATTTTCAGTGTCACGTCCAAGCTGACTTGACAGTCTCAGGAGGACACCTCTGGGAGGCTCCTGAGGAGAAACTTCATAGAGACAGGGGAGTCCGTTAGAATGCCACATGCCCCAATTTTGAGGCGATTGCCCCAGTTTTCACATGCTGTCTCCCCTGTGTTCCTGAGAGCAGATCTAATGTTCTCTTCCTCCAGGTCCCTATTGATTGCCTAAACTGTGATAGTGCTGTTTAAAAAGATGAGGAAATGGGGTAGAATTGGAGTCATTCAAATTAAAAAAGTGTTGGATGAAACCCGCAGTCCAATAATAGACATTCTATGAGGGGGCTTCTTGAGGGTTGTCTGTTTTTTAGCAGAATATCAGTTGGTGACTTAACATACTGTATTGTCTGAAAGACTTTAAATCAGGAAGATTTGTTTAATTTTACTAAACGGGATACCTAAAAAATGGAATCCCCCTTACTTTTGATTGATGTAATAAGGGGAAACCATTCTCTTGTATTAATGTTCTTTCCATACTGGAAGATAAACCTATATCCTAAACATATGTGTTTCATCTGCTTATTAAAATAACCAAATAATCAATTATTGCACATTCTTTTCTCAGATTTTTCAACAGATGAGCATGAGAAATAGTTTTGTTTTAATTCTCTCTAGTTATTAATATTTAATATTTTGAGTTTGAGAAAACCAAATAAGGAACAAAAATATTAGAAGTATTTTCCTTAAAGTTACACTGGACTCTAAATAAACTTAGGACAAGAATTTATTAGGGCTAAAATTGCCCTTGCTCATCTGCAAAAACAGCTAGCTTCTGCTGGGGAAAAGAAAAACTAAATGTGAAATTTATAAAACAAAAAATGATACACAAGGGAAAATGCTGCTAATAAATAATCTATTGCTAGAAGAGAAACAAAGTGGTTGTGTAATGTCACTTTAATGACATTTCTTCAACAACTAGGACAGCTGCTCTGTCATTGTTTTCCTTCAGGCTCATTTTCTTTGCTGGACAGAACTACCTAGCTACATACTATAAGAACAATCTACATGAATTCATTTACCAAGGTGACTAAGGTATCAAACTGTCCCCAATTGGAAGATCAAGTATGAACCTGAACGTTACATGTGGGCATTGGATTGAGTGTACTTTGGAAACACTGCTGGATATCTCATCCGAACCTTAGGTGCTCCTAACCTCGGGGCTGTAACTGTCTTTGAGAAATCTTCACTGAGGCTCCAAGGGTCATATTAAAGGTCATCTCTCTAAATTTTCAGTGTAAACAATTCAGACTATAAGACACCTCCTCTCTCTGCCTAGATCTAAATGATTATGACAAACATGATGGTCCCAGTCATTATCCCAGCTCTAAATTATCATTTGACTGATGCCAGATGTCATCGGTTTTTGGTCTCCACTGATTTCTAAGGTAGTAAACCTATCTTCTTTATCATAAGGATCAAAGATAAACAAAAGATATAAACAGAGTTGAAAACTTACAAAATTTCTGCTTCATCAAAAATGAGAAGAGAATAGAGGACTTGAGGGTGATTTGCCCTCAAGAAGAGATACAACTTGCTAGATTAGGAGGAGGAAGAAATTTGGAGATGGAGGAAGGAAAATATGGAAACAGGTTAATCTTACCTGGGCTGAGTCTTGTGGATGGGTTAGGAAGGTCTGGGGACCAAACCCCTCAGATAACTTGGTGACCTGTGGCAGCTGCAGGGAGTTGGCAAGGTTATTGAGAAGATGCTTTGCACAGTCCTTTTTGCAGGTGGTCTCTTGAACTTCCCCATTCCCAGCTTCACACAAGGACCATAATGCTTCAAAAAAGGACAGGAATGTAGAGGAGGCAATGGGAGGTCCTGTCTGCCTGACAGGTAAGAATGAGGAGCTTCTGGGTGGTGATATGCATGGATGGTCACCAGCAGGCCTGAGACAGGCTGTGGTGGGCAGATCTTCCACTCTCTCCAGGCACCTCCAGCACTGTAGTACTACTGAACTCCCCAGAAACAAAAGATAAGACTCAGAGATATGATGAGAGGAAGCTGAAATGTCTGAGACTGCATTTTTGTTCCCTGAAGAATGGAACCTTGAAATTGAGAATCATTTCTATAAAATAGTTACATATTCTTGCACACTTGATTTAGTGGCTTTAACTCCAACCACACCTCATAATAATTTCAATTAATTTCCTTTTGTCTTCCACCTCATTGAACAAGTGCAAAGTGTTTGTCTCATTCTTGCCCTTGTCTGATTATGTCTCCTTCATATTCTCCCCATTTCTTCCTTTCATTGTTCTCTCTTTCTCCAACACCTCCCTCCAGGCCTTTCCCCCTTGTTCTGCTTTCTAATTTTCAATGTCCAGAGTGAAAGAAAACACAGAAACTTGGAATTACGCTTTACTCTGGTTTCACCATGGGTCTTCTAAGTTCTGTCATTTCAGTGGTGTCACAGTGTTGAGAACTCTCTTGTTCTCATTTTTCCTAGTAGTTTTCCTCACTTTTCCTTTGTCTTTGTGTGGTCTCAAGGACTCTTCTATGATTTCACTACTAAAATAGTTTCCAAAGAGCACAATATCTTAAAAAAAGAAAGAAAAAGAAAAACTTCCAAAATTCTTTACCTGATCTGAAATTCTTTCCAAAACAGAAGATTCTATGCATCACTGCATACACTAGTCTCTCATATGAGATTCTCTCCAAATGGATCTGTATCTTACTAAATTCAAATACCTCAATCTTATCCAATTCACTGCTTTTGCATATATTGTTCTTCTACCAGATGTGACTTCTTTCATCCTCTCCACTTGTGCTGATAATATGAGGTATCTAGGAAGAGCCTACAACCTTTCTAAACCCTTCCACCCCAGCCTGCATATTCATACTCCCCCTCCAACTTCCGACACATAGCCTTTATTCTTCCCTTGGACTTTGATCCTGCACTGTCATAGAAAATTATTTATCTTTCTAAAATATAAATTTTTTCTCCCAATGAGATTATTAGTTCTTCAGAGTCAGGAACTCGTCTCTGTATTGATAATTACATATTATTAACAATAAAAACAGGGTTGTGTATGTAGTAGTTTTCTCCTTAAAGATGTACAAATAATATATTTATTGAATTATTTCATGAATCACTAGTATCAACTCAATGCATGTTTATTAATTGAATAATGAAATACGGAAGAAACAAAGCAAGTCTGTATTGAATAAGTGAATCGCTGAAATCAAGCCTACAGGCTGCCCAGATGTTCTCACCCATGGGGAAAGTCACACAGTTCCAAGTCACAGTTGGATGATATTTACAAGGCTTAATACCATCTTTAGTGAATTATCTCAAGTTTTCACTGATATCAGAAATAAATGTTTCTGTCATGAAGCCTAATTTATAATTCTTGGCACATATGAGGATTTGATTCATATTGTGACTACTTATACTCACTTGTTTGTTTTAATACAATTTAAATTGGAGCTACTATATGGAGAACATGAGAATTTTTGAGGACCTAGTAAAGGCAAACATATTTCTAGAGCAAATATGGGCTACAGATAGAGATATGGAGTAAAGTTATATAATATGACCCCAAGACACACAGCTAATTGGTAGAGAGATGGTCGAGAACTAGGATGTAGCTCAGTAGTAGAGCATTCTTCCCTATAATGCAAAGGCCTTGGTTTCAATCCTCTGTACTATGAAAAAAAAAAAGCAAGGAAAATCTGGTCTAGAATAGAGATACCTTAAGTCCTTATACCTATGATACTATATTCTTTACTACATCCTGTTTCCTTCATTAGTGAAAGAATAAAAAGACAAACTGCAATATGTCTATTTTCCTCCAAATTTAAAAAAATGCTATAAAGCTTATAGCATAATGTATTATGCTATGCATAGGAGAAACTTAACTTCCAACACATAAGGAAGCCACGTGGTAGTTCCTCTCAAACAAGGTAGGACTGGAATTGGTGTGGACCTGTGATTTAAGCCCAGGTAGGCACAGACTCCCCACTTGAGCAAAAACCTATGCTGGGCCTCTGGCTATGCAAGTGCAAGTGTGGCTAGTTAAAAGGAACTACAACTTTGTAATTCAAAATCCTGAAGTATCTTATCTATCCCTCCTATTCAATGGCTCCAGACTCCATCTGCTATTGACTAAATGATCCCCCACCCCCCTGCAATTCATATGTTAAAGTCCAATCCCCAAAATGGTAGTGTTCAGAGGTAGGGTCTTTTGGGGATAATTAGGGTTAAATTAAGTCATAAAGGTGGGGTTCTTGTGATGAAATTAATGCCTTTACAGAAAAAAAAAAAAAAAAGGAAGAGACAGGATCTCTCTCTCTCCCCTGAGTGGGTGAACCTAGGAAAGGCCATCTAAAGACAGGAAGAAACTATGTCTGAAAATCAGGAAAGGAACTCTCACCAAGAACTGAACCCACTGGCACCTTGTTCGTGTACTTAGCAGCCTCCAGAACTGAAAAATAAATATCTATTTTTAAAACCACCTAGTCTATGGTATTTTGTTTTATACTACTCGAGAAGACTGATAACATTCAATTCCTGGTGACTTATCTGACTTTAAACACATTTCAGTTCCATACTGAGAGGAGGGCTAATGGCCCAGTCCTCCAATGTCATGTACATACCTATTCATAGTAGCCTTCTGGTGAAAATAATTTAATCTAATAGCACAGGTAGGCAATATAGATTAAAACTTAGCTAATTAACCATAGTGATTATTCCCAATGGTCCAGATATGGAAAGAACCACTGACAGATTAACAGATAAAAAGTTAAGAACTGGAAAAAATGAGACATTTGGTCTAAGTATATGAATTTTCAGTTATATGATGAATAAGTTCTGGAAATCGTATAACATGGTAACGGCAGTTGATAATGAATATTGTACATCTGAAATCTGATAAGGAAAGAAGGTTCTAAGTATTCTCATCACACATACACACACCAGAGAAGGTAACTGTGGGTGGTATGAGAGGAGGAATATGTTAACTAGCTTGATTGTAGTGATCATTTTACAATGTATATCAAAATATGTTGTACAGCTTACATATATATAAAAGTTTTATTTGTCTACTGTACCTCAATAAACCTGGGGAAAAAGAAAGTTTGGATAGCAGGGACAATTCTTCTATTAGCTGTGCAGGTCTGAGGTTATGCATTGACTCTGTACATTTGCAACAAAAAAGAAGTTGAACTAGGAAAATGATTTTTACCTAGTGCTCCCAAGGAACTTACTTTGGAGTTTCTCAGAGATGCCTATTGGCTTTACTAGCTGAATTATCACATTAGACATCCATGCCTCCCATCCCAATTCCAACCAGAACTGTACTATTTTAATTTGCCATATACACCAGGATTCTGTATAATGTCTCACTGGGAAAAAAATCCACTATAAAAACAATAACAATAACAAAACCAAAATAGTGTTTGGAATCTAAGGATGCTGCTAATGTCCAGGTGCTTGCTAGCTTCTTCACTCTGAGATATTTGGGGCAGGCCAACCCCCATTGTTCCTTTCAGATCAGATCAGGTAGTTCTGATCCTGCTTGGATCAGCCTATGTTATTGAAAGTACTCTCCACAGAAATTCTTAGAGGAATCCCCCCCCAACTTTTGAGTTCTAGTGGGCCTTATGTAACACAGGATTGTGGATTCAATCAGAAGAGCATTGATGAAATAAATTCTTCGCAATTTTGCCCCTGGCCTAGACCCACTCTGCAAAGATTCTGGGATCTTAGGAGTCTGACTCATGAAGTTTAGTTGCATTCTACAGATAGTCACTGAACATCAACTACAGACTATCCGAGGTTCTCCACTAGCTTAGTACTGTCAAGCTTTGGGTTGAAATTTGTGATTCTGTTTTCATTTTTATTTTTGCTTTTGTTACTGATTTTCCATATTTAACCCAGAAACTCCATACAACACCATAGAACAGGAAAACTTAGGAACTTATGTTTATTTTTTATGCTGCATATACCCATTGAATTTTTCCAAGTTCTATTAAGCACTGAATGCCCCTTACTGAACTAGTTATAGGGATAAGAAGAAAAATTTAAAAGATATGGGTCCTGTCTTCAAGAATTTAGAATGTATCTGGGAGAAAAAACTTTCACACACAACACCAGCAAGGAACAAAGGAAGATCACTAAATTATCTAAAACCACCTACCAAAGGTATGGTACCGACTCTAAATCCAGTTGGCTCCCTAGAACCAGCAAGATGAGGGTAAGCTAGAGTTTGGGGGGATTTGACCTGTTTAGTTAGTTTGTTTGTTTGTTTAAGAGGGGATCTACCTATGGTGCCTAGGCTGGTGTTAAATTCTTCGGCTCAAATGACCACTCTGCCTGTCTCTCCAGTTCCGGGAATACAAATGTACACTACAGTATTAGGCATTTCACCTGTTTATTGAAGGACTACAAATGTTTGGACACAGAGAATGTCTACTCCTAGGAAAAAAAAAAAAGTAAAAGACAAGCCAAAGTGTACTCAGGAAGCCAACTGTTTCAGAGTAAATCTTGCTATGTCAGGGACCCGAGACACCCAGCTTCTGCTGACACCTTGGTTAAGGACACTGCACAAGTGACTCACTTGTTCTGGATCTCACCTCATCACTTTCCAACAGAAACTGGCTCCTGGGTTCTGATGTATCTCAAAGACACAACTTGATTTAAATGTGTTTAATGTTTGCAACACGCTTAGTGCTCACTACCTTCGAGAGAAGCATACATTATTATCACTATAATCATCGTTTACCACCTGCTTGCTTCACTTGAACCCATTACTCACACCATCCCTCTCCCAGGAGGAGTGCTTCCTCATTGCCCAGATCCATACACCTGCTCTTTGGGAGATGCATAATGTACTACATCTTAAAACTTAAAGTGACCACTTCCACATTCTTGGGGGAACTTGAAAGGGAAAGTGGGACTAGAGTTGAATTCTTTAACAAATATGCTTGGTTTTCAAAAGTGGGGGTGCTAAAGG